CCCCAAAACCCCAAAACCCCAAAACCCCAAAACCCCAAAACCCCAAAACCCCAAAACCCCATAAATTTGAGCTTTAATTGACCAATTTAAAATGGTAAAAAGCAAACCTAAATTACTCTATTTAGTCCCATGCGCTATGGCTACAGCGATAGGTTTTCTGGCTGCAGGCTATAGTTTTGGCTACTATAATGGTCTTACGGGAATAATGCATAAGCAATATGTACATGATGGTAAGATTTAAAAATTAAACTCTAATTATATAGACAAACAAAGAATTTCAGATAAAGATCTCTTTAACTCAGTTGTTTCAGGAGTTGTTTCTTTGGGATCGATTCCTGGATCCCTAGTGGCATCTCCAATACTAAAAGCCGGAAGAAGATTCACAATGCTTATTGCCAGCTTAATTCTAATCTTTGGAGCATCTCTTACTTTGATCTTCAATATATGGACCCTTATCTTAGGAAGATTTATCATCGGAGTCTCGCTAGGACTGTACTATTCAGTATGCCCCCTTTATATCTCGGAGATTAGTCCACCATCAGTTTCAGGAAGCTTAGGAAGTCTGAACCAAATGAGCTTCGTGAGTGGTCTTTTTATCTCCTTTTCCTTAACATTTATCCTACCTCTATCAGACGACTCGGAAGCTGAGACTACAAGACTCTGGAGAATCAACTGTGGATTTCCTATCATATTCGGGCTGATCCAATTTTGTCTTTTTACTACTATCTTCAGGTACGATACTCCTCTATTCTACAAGAGAAAAGGAGATATGAAGGCCTACCAACAAATCATAGCTCTTGTAGCTACAGTTGAAGAAAACAAAGAAAATAAGGAAGAAATAAGCAGGAAGAATGATAAAGTACATCCAGATCATGAAAGCCCTGTGATTGAAGAATCACAGGAAAAGAAGGACAATTCTTGTGAAAAGAGCAATTTAGATGAAAAAATTGATGAAAGCAAGGAATCAAAGGAGGAAAATTCTTCAAAGGTTTTAAGTGAGGAAGAAGTTGATGAACAGAGGAATAATTTAAAAGACTTAGAAGCTCAATCGGAGGAGATAGATAAAATTGATGCTAGGCTAGTCAAGAGACCTTGGACTCCACATTACAAGAAAGCATTGCTAATATGCTCCCTTCTTAGTTTCTTTCATCAATCGACTGGAATTAACGGAGTTACCTCTTTCTCTAACGAGATTTTTAAGGATGGAGACGAAGGAAACTCTGCTGAGAGAAGAGCTAGACTTGGAACTCTTCTTATGGGAATATCTTCGATAATTGCATGCTTTACATCCATCTGGCTTTATAAAATTTTCCCAAGGAAATTCTTCTTCATTACAAGCGAGACAGTCATCATGAGTTGTCTGTTTCTTTCAGGAATCTTTGCATTGTTCAATATTGATGTAGGAATTATTGTTATGACAATGATCTATGTGTTCTCTTTTGATGGAGGAATGGGCCCAACAATGTGGATCTACTGATCAGAAGTCCTCGATAGCTACGGCGCATCAATTGTTGCTTTAATCAACATGGTAATGGTTTGCATCTTTGCTTCTTTCGCAAACCTAATGTTTGAACATTTCACAGCTCCAGGCATGTACTTTGGACTGGCATTGATCCAAAGCATTTGAATAATCTTTATTCTTAAATTTGTGAGAGAGACAAAAGGAAAGACTAAAGAGGAATGCGAAAAATTGTATTGTGATGAATAGAATCACCTAGAAATATATAACTTTTAATGATATCGATTCAATGCTTCATACATAATTAGGGGTTTTGGGGTTTTGGGGTTTTGGGGTTTTGGGG